CTGATCATCCGAAAAAAGGAACCAGTTAAACTCAAAATTATTCGAACGCCAATAATCACTTTACCTTTAAAGGACCCAGCATGTGAAAGCTCGTTGCGAATAATGTCATGTGACTGGGAGATTGTTAAATTTTCTTGCGAAAAAAATTGTGATTAGTAATGGAGTAGGTGATAAGAGGTCAGTCTGCATAGCAAGTACAAAAAGGCATTTTTGTGTTGTCTTGGAGTTGTTCGAATTTGCTTGTTTAGCCGTAAAAAAAATTAACATCTGGAAGAGCTGTTAACTCATAGTCTGGATCTCCGTTTGTGCAGTCGGAAACTTTTAACTCGACTACATTCTTCTGTTTCTCTCATTCATACCCCTCGGAAAGTTCGAGTCAACAGATTAAAGGCAAGTATGCCAATGGCCTTAGCATTGTTTTTAGTTTATCAAAATAGTGTAGTGAAAATTCTTTTCTTGTGGATATTGCCCCTGGTCAGTAATTTATCATTTAATGAGCGGAGCTTGACCTCAGTATGCAGTAATCCACTTTTGTAGATAACTCGCCACTGTATGTGCTTGATGATGACGGCAAAGAATTGTGTGTATCGGCCGAAGATAACTTCGGAGGATTTCTTTTTCGTGCAGTTCGGCATCGCATTGTTCTGTTACCGGAGGAGCAATATGCATCGTTTTTTGTTCTGCTTACCACGCGATCGTTCGTGTTTTCGACATGGATTGGCTCGATTCTGGATACTTTCAGCCGCAAATATTTCACGCATTTCTTGCTCACCGTTCTTTTGTCCGATTACGACTTGCTGCTCTCGTTCATCGAAGTGGTTGTTGGCGAGCAAATGCAACGTGAGAATGGTCAGTCTCATATTTTGATTTTTAAAAATAAAATTTTTAGCTTCATCCAGTATTATTTGCTCCCTTTTATGGCGTCGGAGAAGATAACATGTACATAGTACAGATAGGAATAAGAGATTAAAACATGAACAAGTCTTGGCACGACTCAACTCGACATACGGATCTTTGGTAACGGGTCACCATACTGATCGTCCTGGCGATTTTCTGAATAATGATAAAATGCTAGTTTTTGCATTGAGATTCACGTCGGGAAACTTTTCGGGGTGTTCCGATATGGTCAGTTTTTGTCCGATGGGTAAAAGTCATTTACACTGCTTCTAAATAATGTTAGCCAGGAGTAAATCGTCTCTAGCTCCTTCATGTTTGGTTGTTGGAAGTTTCACTGCTCTGGTACGCTGCAGTTGAGTACCATGTGGACCAGCTCTTAGTTGCTGCAACTGTTTTGGCCAGGAAGGTACCGAGGGACGTCGTTATGCTATGTTTGGAGTACTGCCTCATAATCCCCGTGGTTCTCTGCTAACCGCTTTTTTTCGTGGGTTTCTGTGCAAGGGCATCTGGGGAAGCTTCATTGTTTTTGTTTGTTGATTAAAAGCAGTTCTGTTGGAGGAACAAGGATGGAAAAAGAGGGGCAAGAAAGAATATAGCTGCCCACATAGCGCGTTTGATAGACTTTTGCACTTCTGTTTATGGTACCATCGAATCACTTGAAATAATTCTTACTCTGTAGAAATGTACCGAGATGAAAAGTCTTCCGTCTGAGACGAAAACTGTTGTTTTGAATGTCTGGTATTTTTAGAATCGACACTGTTCCGGTGTGATTCATTTTGCACATGCTGCATTTCGACAGTACTACGTATGATCGGCAGGGATTTGGCAGTGGAAGAACTGAAAAACTTCCTCTCTGCGAGTCAGCCGAAACAAGAGGTGGAAATTATGGTCGCCCTAAAAAGCTTATCCGAGCATCTGCCTCTGCTTTTCCGAGCTGTTCTCTCACGGGTAGTGAAGTCAGTGAAAGCAAATTGCAAGGATCACATGTACAATCAGCGGCGTGTTGTAAGGTAACGGTTGCTATAATTACTCATCTTGGTCATGGGATAAAATTGTAGTTCGTACACCCTCTTGGGGGTTTGAAAATGCAAATACACTATGTTCATTTTCTGAGCATTTTGCCGTGGGATACTTACGAGAATTATAAGTCCAAAAATAGAGCTATTCCGAAACAGCTCAGTTTTTCAAATCTTCAGAGATTGGCGGCCCCCTGTCTACATACCTAAAATTAGTACCTACCGTCTGTTCCCACTATGTGTGTCACTCTCCGAAGGTCGCCATTAACTGTTATGAGAATTACTTTAAGAGGCCGAGCTGTTAAAGTTATGCTCACCGATGCATGGCCACGATGACATGTTCAGGCCCAGCTAAGGCGATATTGGACCTTTCTGGATTTTTGCCTTGATCCTTTCTCATCCTTTTGTTTTGACACTTACTAAAACATTACGACACGTTCACTTACACGTGAAACTGGTCTGCCTCCGTGAATATTCCATGTACGATTTTACAGTGATTGATGCATCACTGAAGAATATAATTTGCCGTTTAATTTCAGCGCATTCTTCATTTTGCGATTTGTCAATCCTATTTTGGCTTTCTGGAATGATGGATGTGGTGAGTCCCAGTCTACTGTTTTCAAGTAAACCATTCCTGAGAAAATATGTGACAGATTTTTGTATTTGAATTGTTTTAATTTACTGAACAAATTTGTAGCTGAACAATCGCGACAAATGGCAAAAACAATACAGTTATTGGCGAATCAAGCCGCTTCGCTAGAATACAAACCGGTAAGATTCAAATTCCTGGTTTTGATATTCGATGCCTGAATTTGCTCGAAAAAATAAAACTTGCGCAGAAAAATTGCTTAAAAATTTCTAAAATTTCCTTTACTCTGTTCTTTCTACGTCAGTTTTGTAATATGATGGATTTCGTTGTATTACGCTGAAACAGAAGAATGGAACTCAAATTTCAGGAGAGGAGTTCCCGAACGGTTTGCTTGATGGCTGATCTACTAGATGCTGTATGCTTGTCACCTCAGGTCAGTTACTTTTTGGGACAACTTATTATTACTCGACTTCTGTAATTAGTCGGTAGGATCAACCTGTTTCATCATTATTGGTACATAAAATGCTCATTTAACATACTCTTTCATCATCACGGTTTATTCTCTAATTTATCTGCACAGCTAGCGCAGTTTTAAATTCAACACTAAACTCATGGGTTTCGAACAGCTTTCTTAGCGGTCATTGTATTCGCCCGCGCCTGTCATGATTTTTCTTTCTTAGTTGTTGCAGAAAACCAAGTTATTATGCACAACTACTCCTAAGTACAAGACATTTTGTGGTCACATTTTAACGTAGTTTTCGATGGTAATTACTAAAACTCGGCTCGGTTCGGCTCGGCTGGTGTCTTACACGATCAGCCAAATATTTTTTTTATGGAGGACGGGTAGGGTTGTCCGTGCAGACCTGTGCTACAAATAGGGGGAGGGTTTAGTAGTTGCCTTTTCGATGACTTCAATAAGCTGCCGGGCTATCGTCGTATCGCATGCGAACGTGTATGCATGCGTAATTACGCTTATTATCTGTTCATACACACACACACACACACATACACACACATGCACACACACTCGTGCACAGGATTTATTAATGTCGTTATTTTCGTCATGTGCCATAATCATTATTTTTACTGTTATTTTTTCGTTGTTATCGGGGTGCACA